GGAGAACGCCATGCATGCATAAAACGATGAAAGCGTAGCCTAGCCCAAAGTCATATTCATAGCCTATCGAATGGAGCGAGAAGGGAATATAGCCTGAAAAATATTTAAACGGCTAGCCACAAGATAGTTAAGGACTGTCCGTTATATACAGTGCCTTCAGAAAGTTTTCATACTCCTTGACTCATTCCTCATTTTGTTGTTACAGCATGAATTCAAAATTGATTAAATATTTTTTTCTTTCTCACCCATCTACACACAATACCCCATAATGACAAAGTGAAAATATGTTTTTAGAAATGTCTGCACATTTATTGAAAATGAAATACAGAAATCTAATTTACGTAGGTATTCACACCCCTTTGCTATAACACTCCAAATTGAGGTCAAGGGCATCCAATTTCCTTTGATCATCCTTGAGATGCCACTACAGCTTAATTGGAGTCCACCTGTGGCCAATTCAATTGATTGGACATGATTTAGAAAGAAACACACCTGTCTATATAAGGTCACACAGTTTGACAGTGCATGTCAGCGCAGAAACTATACCATGAAGTCTAAGGAACTGTCTGTAGATCTCTGAGATAGAATTATGATGGGGCATATCTGGGGAAGGGTATGAAACAATTTCTAGTGTTGAAAGTTTCCAAGAACAGTGGCCGTCCAACCAAACTGAGCAACCGGGCATGAAGGACTTTGGTCAGGGAGGTGACCAAGAACCCAATGACTACTGACAGAACTACAGAGTTCATTGGCTGAGATGGGAGAACATGCCACAACATTTTAGAGAAATAAGCTTTTTGTGCGTATGTAACATTTCTGGGATCTTTTATTTTAGCTCATGAAATATGGGGTCAACACTTACATGTTGTGTTTTATATTTTTGTTCAGTATATTTGGCCTGAATGCAAAGCCCCGTCTGGGGAGAACCAGCCATAGCTCATCACCCGTCGAACATCATCCCTACTGTGAAGCATGGTGGTTGCAGCATCATGCTATGGGGATGCTTTTCAGCGGTAGGGACTGTGAGACTGGTAAGGATAGAGGGAACAATGAATGGAGCTAAATACAGGCAAATCCTTGATGAGAACCTGCTTCAGAGTGCAAACAACCTTTGACTGGGGCGAAGATTTACGTTCCAACAGGACAAAGACCCCAAGCATAAGCATACAGCCAAAGCAACGCTGAATGGCTTCAGAACAAGAATGTGAAAGTCCTTGAGTGGCCCAGCCAAAACCCAGACTTGAATCCCATTGAAAATCTGTGGAAAGACATGAAGAATGCTGTTCACCAGAAGAATGGGAGAAAATCCCCAAATCCAGATGTGCATAGCTGATACAGACCAAGATGACTCAAAGCTGTAATCACCGCCAAAGGTGCTTCTACAAAGTATTGACTCAGGGGTGTGAATACTTATGTAAATGAGATTTCTGTATTTCATTTTCAATACATTTGCATACATTTCTAAAAACCTGTTTTCACTTTGTCATTATGGGGTATTATGTGTAGATGGTGATGGGGAAAAAATCAATTTAATCCATTTTGAATTTGGGCTGTAACACAACAAAATGTGGAATAAGTCAAGCGGTATGAATACTTTCTAAAGGCACTGTGTACGGTGGGGAGGAAAAAGTATTTAGTCAGCCACCAATTGTGCAAGTTCTCCCACTTAAAAAGATGAGAGAGGCCTGTAATTTTCATCATAGGTACACGTCAACTATGACAGACAAAATGAGAGAAAAAAATCCAGAAAATCACATTGTAGGATTTTTAATTATTTAATTTGCAAATTATGGTGGAAAATAAGTTTTTGGTCAATAACAAAAGTTACTCAATACTTTATATACCCTTTGTTGGCAATGACACAGGTCAAACGTTTTCTGTAAGTCTTCACAAGGTTTTCACACACTGTTGCTGGTATTTTGGCCCATTCCTCCATGCAGATCTCCTCTAGAGCAGTGATGTTTTGGGGCTGTCGCTGGGCAACACGGACTTTCAACTCCCTCCAAAGATTTTCTAAATATTTTGACTGTTTGCAGTCCACATTGTTCTAATATTTTTTACATTTATTATGACAACTTTGCCAGAGCATTCTGGAAGACACCGATTTCAACTCCCTCTCCAACTAAACCTGCATGTCGCCTACAACCATTAGAGTGATGGAAAGTTTCTCCCAAATCCACTGACTGTGTTATGGGTCATACAGTACTCTGCTTGCGTAGTGGGTCAGACTGACTCAGACAGACAGGATTGACCGGTTTTAAAATACAAACACACAGTGAGATTCTGAGGGGAATTGCCTTTCTGACAAAAGCTTTGTTGCAGGTAATACACACACTCTCTCTCGCTCTTTTAATTATGTTGTCATGGTAACATGTCTGAATTTAAGTTCCACTCCTTGGCTGGGAGTCTTTTTTTACTTCTAACTGACAACGATCTTTAAAATGTCATCACCTCTGCACTGATTACTTTGGCTTAAATAGTTCAGTGTGTTGTACACCAGTGGAGGCTGGTGGGTGGAGCTATAGGAAGACGGACACATTGTAACGGCTGGAATGGAATAAAGGGAAAGGACTCAAACATGTGGTTTCCATATGTTTGATGTGTTTGATACCGTTCCATTAATTCCATTCCAACCATTACAATGAGCCCGTCCTCCTATAGCTCCACCCACCAGCCTCCACCACACTCATAAGAAACACAACGTAAACACTATAAAAGATACGTGATACAACGGAAACACCATACAGAAGATACAATGTCAATCCTATGGGCCCTGGTCAAAAGTATTACATTATATAAGGAATAGGGTGCCATTTGGCTCCTCCTCCATCAGATCAGACCTATGACATGAAAGCATTGATCGTTCCAAATTGATGTTTTAATAGACTGTTATGATAACAAATATCTGTTATATACAGTGGGGGAAAAAAGTATTTAGTCAGCCACCAATTGTGCAAGTTCTCCCACTTAAAAAGATGAGATAGGCCTGTAATTTTCATCATAGGTACACGTCAACTATGACAGACAATGAGAAAGAAAATCCAGAAAATCACATTGTAGGATTTTTAATGAATTTATTTGCAAATTATGGTGGAAAATAAGTATTTGGTCAATAACAAAAGTTTCTCAATACTTTGTTATATACCCTTTGTTGGCAATGACACAGGTCAAACGTTTTCTGTAAGTCTTCACAAGGTTTTCACACACTGTTGCTGGTATTTTGGCCCATTCCTCCATGCAGATCTCCTCTAGAGCAGTGATGTTTTGGGGCTGTCGCTGGGCAACATGGACTTTCAACTCCCTCCAAAGATTTTCTATGGGGTTGAGATCTGGAGACTGGCTAGGCCACTCCAGGACCTTGAAATGCTTCTTACGAAGCCACTCCTTCGTTGCCCGGGCGGTGTGGTTGGGATCATTGTCATGCTGAAAGACCCAGCCATGTTTCATCTTCAATGCCCTTGCTGATGGAAGGAGGTTTTCACTCAAAATCTCACGATACATGGCCCCATTCATTCTTTCCTTTACACGGATCAGTCGTCCTGGTCCCTTTGCAGAAAAACAGCCCCAAAGCATGATGTTTCCACCCCCATGCTTCACAGTAGGTATGGTGTTCTTTGGATGCAACTCAGCATTCTTTGTCCTCCAAACACGACGAGTTGAGTTTTTACCAAAAAGTTCTATTTTGGTTTCATCTGACCATATGACATTCTCCCAATCCTCTTCTGGATCATCCAAATGCACTCTAGCAAACTTCAGACGGGCCTGGACATATAATAATATAATAATATGCCATTTAGCAGACGCTTTTATCCAAAGCGACTTGTACTGGTTTAAGCAGGGGGACACGTCTGGCACTGCAGGATTTGAGTCCCTGGCGGCGTAGTGTGTTACTGATGGTAGGCTTTGTTACTTTGGTCCCAGCTCTCTGCAGGTCATTCACTAGGTCCCCCCGTGTGGTTCTGGGATTTTTTTGACCCCACGGGGTGAGATCTTGCGTGGAGCCCCAGATCGAGGGAGATTATCAGTGGTCTTGTATGTCTTCCATTTCCTAATAATTGCTCCCACAGTTGATTTCTTCAAACCAAGCTGCTTACCTATTGCAGATTCAGTCTTCCCAGCCTGGTGCAGGTCTACAATTTTGTTTCTGGTGTCCTTTGACAGCTCTTTGGTATTGGCCATAGTGGAGTTTGGAGTGTGACTGTTTGAGGTTGTGGACAGGTGTCTTTTATACTGATAACAAGTTCAAACAGGTGCCATTAATACAGGTAACGAGTGGAGGAATCTTGCTTGTTTGTAGGTGACCAAATACTTATTTTCCACCATAATTTGCAAATAAATTCATTAAAAAATCCTACAATGTGATTTTCTGGATTTTTTTTCTCAATTTGTCTGTCATAGTTGACGTGTACCTATGATGAAAATTACAGGCCTCTCTCATCTTTTTAAGTGGGAGAACTTGCACAATTGGTGGCTGACTAAATAAAAAATTTCCCCACTGTATATATGTTTTTTAATGGTTTAGGCTATAAGGCCCATGCATCCGAGAGAGAGGGAGGGAGAGATTAACAATGTTTTCTGACTGGCCATTTTGCGCTGCTTTGGTGTACTTCTCTGCTCTGTTCAGCCTACATTCCTCTCTTGCATTCTGTATATAACACATTTATTGAAATAGGCCAGCCTTTTATTAAAGTTCCTGGAGAGCTACTGTCCTGTAGGTTTTCGCTCCAACCCCAGTTGTAACTAACCTGGTTCAGGTTATCAACCAGCTAATTATTAGGGTTAGAATAAAATCCTACAGGACAGTAACTCTCCAGAAACAGGGTTGGAGAGCCCTGGGCAAAACCATCGTCTGTCACATCACAATGTCGTCACCATCGGCAATGGCTGTCGATCATTGTTGATAGACGATACTATCGTAATATCGCTCAACCCTGTATTGTACTCAATGGTATACTCGCTTATCATCAGTATACATATTTCTTATCATGCACCATTCTCTTCTTATAGCAAACAACAGCAAGTTCCTGTCTGACTTTGGGATACGAAATGGTAGCCGTCTGCAAGTGGATGACTTTCTGCAGGATTACACACTCCTGGTTAACGTGATTCACTGGTAAGAGGATATGTATTTATCCGTGTGCTGTATAGGCCTTTGCATTTGCATGACTAATGCAAATTTGTTTCCCTAATGTAAATGTATTTCTGTGCTTGTCTGGAAAAGTGAGGACTTAGAGAAGGATGTGGAGTTTGAGGTGGTGGGTGACGCCCCTGACAAAGCCCCAACCCCACCCAGCGCACAAGAAGAGGACAAGAATGTTGCCAATGGCAACAAAGACTCTGCAGAACCATCCACCTCTTCCAAAGGTGAGCAAAACTGACATTGACTACAGAGATGGACTATTTTAGACTACATCTAATAATTCAAATCCTGGTCATAAATCACCTGTCCTGTCCTTAAACCATTTTGTTTATAGTACTGAGAATCATGTGTAGCCATGTTTATTTTGTTGCTGAATGTAAACTCTAAAAGGGTAAATGTCAATCGTCTCTCGTCTGACTTTCTCTTGCTTTCCTTTCTCCTCTTAGCCCCTGCTGAGCAGGATGATGTTCTGATAGTTGATTCGGACGAGGAGGAGCCGTCCTCCAGCACTATGGATGTCAGCATGGAGTCAGGAGGCCACAAGAGGAAGCTCCATGATGCTGAGACAGGCGAGGCTTCAGCCAAGCGCCAACGCCTGGATCAGCCTTCGGCCGGCGATGAAGACGATGATGACATCATTGCACTAGACTAGTATGTCTCTCCTGACCCCTCCCCTCTTCGGAAGGATGAAACTCTGTGTTTATGTTTTCATACGCTGTTCCTCTTACCAAACGTGTAAATATAAATGTACAAAAACTGTTGTGTGCCAGTTTTTTTTATTTCGGTCAACAGTGTACTGTTTCCAGTGGGAAGTTTAATAAGATTTGATCACAGATGGATAAGATGCTTTAGATTTTTGTATTTTTTATAATGTATTTGTCTCATGTCACAAGTCAGGGTGTGGTTTTTAGGGAGACTGAAAGAAACACATTTAATACCAAATGTTTTTTCAGCGTATTTCATCCAGATCATTGCAAAGTAAACTTTAAAAAAAAAAAGTTTTTATCAAACCCAATCATTTCTTTGGGTCTAACATTGACAGGATTTTCTTTGTAATTGTTGACCATTGACCACTTGCAGCGTGAGTTGCTTTGTCACAGCTGGTTAAAAAAGAAATTGTATTGGAGTTTGTTACTTTATTTATACATTCATGTGGTTTATATTTTGAGCCATCATATCCAGTCCTCAACCTCCCTTTGGACCAAATAGATAACGACACAATAAACGCTTACAGATCTAATGACCCCAAACTTGTTTTCTTAAGCTTTAGCAAACACAGTTTTACTGGTATACAGTATCTGTTTGGAACATCAGTACTTTGGCTTGTTTTTACTGGACACCACCAAATTTCAATTTGCTAATTTATTTGGGGTGCTTTTTTTTTGGGGGGGGGGGGTAAGAACTGTGAAGCCCTTTCATTGCTTGGTTTTGGTTTGACAGTAAGTCATGTTTTGTTTTTGCCACAGTTGTCTTCTAAAGGGTTCAGACTGAGAAAAGGCCTCATTATTACAATTTAGGGGAATGGAAATGTGGACACTACTTTTACAGCCATGTTTGCCGAAACAGCAAATGAGTTTCATAACGTCCTTTTAACCTTGAATGTCCTGGGACTCAAGGAAAACAATCTTTTTTTCAGAGCAAATATTTTGTAACTGAAGGTGTGCATGTCTGTTTAGGGATTAAAGTCCAAACGAGTCATCTCAGCCCTGTCAGTGACGAAAAGCCATAACATAAGCAAGTTTACAATAAACATGACATTCCTAAGGCGCTTTAGCTGAACATATTCTCAGTCCAGTACTAGTACAATGTTTGCATAACATTTGCAAGACCATGTTATTCAAACTAACCTCATCCAATAATTTACATTAAATCAGAATAGAACACTTGGGCTGTTTGTAAAGATGCATTTGTGTTCAATCACAATTGGAAACGACATGGTCAATGAGTGAGTTTTTGTTATAGATAAAGCACTGCACATTTTACCATGTGCGGCATCATGTATTGTAGATCATGAGGCTCAGATTAATTGTGCTGCTATTATGACATATGACAAGAACCACACAGACATTTCAACAACAACAAAAGGTTAAGCATAAAGTACACAAAAGATCTAAGTCAAGGTTTCTGTTAAATCGGGTCTAGATCTCGCGCATGTGGATTGCAACGCCTCTCAGATGATTAAGCTGATTGGTCGACAGCCTTACGCGAGCTCAACTCGGCGATCTCTTCCTATTGTAACCACATTATTGCTTCGTAAACACTTTACAATCTTTCACGTTCATTGATGCCGCGCGTGCGATAGCAGTAGGTAACAAATATAAATGGGCGGGGGGTTAAAGTAAGCACTTATCAACAGGACTAGTGAAAACTTTTGGAATTTATTGTCTGTTCGTGAATGTTTCAATCGTGTGAAAGCCTGTCTATTTTCCCGACCAATCAAGCGATATCGTGGAGAGAGCCAGCCGGCAGCCATCCAACTGTCACGGAAGTGTGGAAGAAGAGGGATCCTAAAGCAACTCCCGTTTAGTTATTTTCTTATTGAAAACATATGAAACCGAACGACTCGGGAGACAGGAGCAGGTTTAATTGATATGACGTTTTGCCTTACCTGAAAGGATAACACATAACAGCTAACTTTGACTCTCGCAGCCTTCGAGTAGCGTATTCGAAGAACCGTGGTCATGGTGGCTCTCTCATCGATTGTAACGCCACTTGCCCGGCATCTGCAAAGACATATCATCAAGCAAACTAAAGGTCAACGGTTGATACCCGTGAGAAGATGCAACCTCACTGCATGTTCAAGCAAATATGTGCTTTCAGCATGTAAGTGTCTAAACTTTAAAAGTACGGTAGCTTGCATCATATTACAGTTGAATTATCATATTAGTTACAGTTGAATTAGCTAGCTGTTCATTTCATAAGACTAGAACAGTACCATTATTGGTCAGTCCAGTTGTCAGCTGAGCTGACACGTTCTACACGAGAAATAAGACTGTTTCATTCTCTCAAGCAGCAGTAACATAAATGGCTACGTTAAATTTTCATCGACATCCACTATGGCTACATTGCTAAAGGGTTAATGGAGTGGTATCATCGCAATGCGTGCACAAAGAATACATGGAAACCAAGGACTGGACTTTTGCATGAGTGAGTCGGCGTTACATTTTCAGGGTGAATAATAATAATAATAATATGCCATTTAGCAGACGCTTTTATCCAAAGCGACTTACAGTCATGCGTGCATACATTTTTTGTTGTTGTGTATGAATGAGTTCATTCTAAGCTTCCGGCCGGGTACTGGTTTTGATTGTACCTATGGTGTGTACATCCACATGTCAATATGATCGTAACTATGATCACAATTTTGATATGTTCGTTTATCATTTATTTTATTTTTATTTATTTTTTATTTTTTACTTGGCCTATTTTACACTGCATGTTTGGTGGTTTGTTTATGGTCTGTCGTTGCGCAACACATTCATAAGGCCTGACCTTTCTCTCCAGAACCCAAGGCATTAACAAGGCATTCTGCATTATCCCAAGGGTTCTCAGCTATAAGCACTGCTTACCGGTGGGAATATGTGAACTAAAATCCCAGCGCTCTGTTTTAATGTTTCGAACCGTGAATCATCCCTTGCGATACGTTTTTTGAAACATAGTTAATTTATTTCATACTGTATAAGCGAGAAATAATATAAAAATAATAATTTCACATACTGTAACAGATTTGCACAGATCCATATGGCTATCTGTGCATCCAGCCGACGAACTACACGTCCTCCCCAGTTATGCTTAGCACAGGTGGTCGCCTCTGTCTTCCCTAAACAAGGACTGTAACAAAGGTGTTCGATGGGATTGAGGTCAGGGTTCTGTGCAGGCCAGTCAAGTTCTTCCACACCTATCTCGACAAACCATTTCTGTATGGACCTCACTTTGTGCACGGTGGCATTGTCATGCTGAAACAGGAAAAGCCCTTCCCCAAACTGTTGCCACAAAGTTGGAAGCACAGAATCGTCTACATTGTCATTGTATGCTGTAGCGTTAAGATTTCCCTTCACTGGAACTAAGGGGCCTAGCCCGAACCATGAAAAACAGCCCCAGACCATTATTCCTCCTCACCAAACTTTACAGTTGGCACTATGTATTGGGGCAGGTAGGGTTCTCCTGGCATTCCCAAACCCAGATTTGTCCGTCGGACTGCCAGATGGAAGCGTGATTCATCACTCCAGAGAACGCGTTTCCACTGCTCCAGAGTCCAATGGCCAAGCTTTACACCACTCCAGCCAACGCTTGGCATTGCACATGGTGATCTTATGCTTGTGTGCGGCTGCTCAGCCATGGAAACCCATTTCATGAAGCTCCCCTGACGAACAGTTCTTGTGCTGACGTTGTTTCCAGATGCAGTTTGGTACTCGGTAGTGAGTGTTGCAACTGAGGACAGACGATATTTACGCACTATGCGTTTCAGCACTCAGTTGTCCTGTTCTGTGAGCTTGTGTGGCCTACCACTTCACGACTGAGCCGTTGTTGCTCCTAGACGTTTCCTCTTCACAATAACAGCACTTACAGTTGACCGGGGCAGCTCTAGCAGGGCTTAAATTATACATCTGTCAGCAACGGGTGTGGCTGAAATAGCCAAATCCACTCATTTGAAGGGGTGTCCACATACATTTGGCCATGTAGTGTACCTTCATGAATAGCTAGCAGATTGTAACGAGCTAATGTGATGATCCATTAGTCGTTACAGGATAGGTACTGTTTGGCGTAGCACAGAGAATTTGACCAACCTTAACTTGCCGATACTATCTTCGTCCTCGATTCGGCCAAACGTATCTTCTAATATGTCTGTGTTCAGATGCAGGTGGTTTGTTTGAATTTAGAAAATGCTAGTAAGAATAGGACAGTAGCAAAATGGGTAATTGAAAATAAATTTTCCAAAGGACCTTTGTACAGATAGAGGCTAAGCATTCACAGTCCCATTGACAGATCTGATTGAAGTGGTGCCGGAGAAGATGGCTGCAGTTTTACAGCCCTCTAACCAATTCAAATCAAATTTTTATTGGTCACATGCGCCGAATACAACAGGTGCAGACATTGCAGTGAAATGCTTACTTACAGCCCTTAACCAACAGTGCATTTATTCTGTACCTAATGTTTTTGCCACTGTCTCTTATGACCAAAAAGAGCTTCTGGATATCAGGACAGCGATTACTCACCTCGTATTGGACAAATATTTTTTCTTCGTCCAACAGACACAGACACCCGACAAGGCCCAAATCCCCGTCATTCGCAGGAGAAAGAGACAGAGATATCGTGGACGTAGGTCGGGGTGCCATGTAAGGATCTGACGGCGAACGAGTAAACTGCCTCTTCCATCAATCCTATTAGCCAATGTTCAATCATTTGAGAACAAATTGGACGACCTAAGATTATGGTTATCCTACCAACTGTAATATCTTATGTTTCACCGAGTCGTGGCAGAACGACGACATGGACAACATACAGCTGACGGGATATACGCTACATCGGCAGGATAGAACGGCTGACTCCGGTAAGACAAGGGGTGGCGGTCTGTGTTTATTTTTAAACAGCAGCTGGTGCACAAAATCTAATACTAAGGAAGTCTCAAGGTTTTGCTCGCCTGAGGTAGAGTATCTCATGATAACATTTACATTTACATTTACATTTACGTCATTTAGCAGACGCTCTTATCCAGAGCGACTTACAGTTAGTGAGTGCACACATTATTTATTTTTCATACTGGCCCCCCGCGGGAATCGAACCCACAACCCTGGCGTTGCAAACACCATGCTCTACCAACATCCTTGCCAGCCATTCCCTCCCCTACCCTGGACGACGCTGGGCCAATTGTGCGCCGCCCCATGGGTAAGCTGTAGACCACACTATTTACCAAGAGACTTTTCATCTATATTTTTCGTAGCTGTTTATTTACCACCACAAACCGATGCTGGCATTAAGATTGCACTCAATGAGCTTTATAAGGCCATAAGCAAACAGGAAAACGCTCATCTAGAGGCAGCGCTCCTAGTGGCCGGGGACTTTAATGCAGGGAAACATAAATCCATTCTACCTAATTTCTACCAGCATGTTAAATGTGCAACCAGAGGAAAAAAAACTCTAGACCACCTTTACTCCACACACAGAGACGCATACAAAGCTCTTCCTCGCCCTCCATTTGGCAAATCTGACCATAACTCTATCCTCCTGATTCCTGCTTATAAGCAAAAACTAAAGCAGGAAGCATCAGTGACTCGGTTAATAAAAAAAGTGGTCAGATGACGCAGATGCTAAGCTATAGGACTGTTTTGCTAGCACAGACTGGAATATGTTCCGGGATTCTTCAGATAGCATTGAGGAGTACACCACATCAGTCACTGGCTTCATCAACAAGTGCATCGATGACGTCGTCCCCACAGTGACTGTATGTACATACCCCAACCAGAAGCCATGAATTACAGGCAACATCCGCATTGAGCTAAAGGGTAGAGCTGCCGCTTTGCCCTCCGACAAACCATCAAAGAGTCAATACCGGACTAAGATTGAATTGTACTACACCGGCTCTGACACTCGTCGGATGTGGCAGGGCTTGAAAACTATTAGACTACAAAAGGAAGCACAGCCGCGAGCTGCCCAGTGACACAAGCCTACCAGACGAGCTAAATCACTTCTATGCTCGCTTCGAGGCAAGCAACACTGAAGCATGCACGAGAGCACCAGCTGTTCCGGATGACAATGTGATCACGCTCTCCGTAGCCGACGTGAGTAAGACTTTTAAGCAGATCAACATTCACAAGGCCGCAGGGCCAGACGGATTACCAGGACGTGTACTCCGAGCATGTGCTGACCAACTGGCAAGTGTCTTCACTGACATTTTCAACATGTCCCTGACTGAGTCTGTAATACCAACATGTTTCAAGCAGACCACCATAGTCCCTGTGCCCAAGGACACTAAGATAACCTGCCTAAATGACTACCGACCCGTAGCACTCACGTCTGTAGCCATGAAGTGCTTTGAAAGGCTGGTCATGGCTCACATCAACACCATTATCCCAGAAACCCTAGACCCACTCCAATTTGCATACTGCCCCAACAGATCCACAGATGATGCAATCTCTATTGCACTCAACACTGCCCTTTCCCACCTGGACAAGAGGAACACCTACGTGAGAATGCTGTTCATTGACTACAGCTCAGCGTTCACCATAGTGCCCTCAAAGCTCATCACTAAGCTAAGGATCCTGGGACTAAACACCTCCCTCTGCAACTGGGTCCTGGACTTCCTGACGGGCCGCCCCCAGGTGGTAAGGGTAGGTAACAACACATCTGCCATGCTGATCCTCAACACGGGGGCCCCTCAGGGGTGCGTGCTCAGTCCCCTCCTGTATTCCCTGTTCAGCCATGACTGCATGGCCAGGCACGACTCAAACACCATCATTAAGTTTGCTGACGACACAACAGTGGTAGGCCTGATCACCGACAACAATGAGACAGCCTTTAGGGAGGAGGTTCGAGACCTGGCCAAGTGGTGCCAGGATAACAACCTCTCCCTCAACGTGATCAAGACAAAGGAGATGATTGTGTACTACAGGAAAAAAAAAAAAAGAGGACTGAGCACGCCCCCATTCTCATCGACGGGGCTGTAGTGGAACAGGTTGAGAGCTTCAAGTTCCTTGGTGTCCACATCACCAACAAACTATCATTGTCCAAACACACCAAGACAGTTGTGAAGAGGGCACGACAAAGCCTATTCCCCCTCAGGAGACTGAAAAGATTTGGCATGGGTCCTCAGATCCTCAAAAAACAGCTGCACCATCGAGAGCATCCTGACTGGTTGCTTCACCGCCTGGTATGGCAACTGCTCGGCCTACGACCGCAAGGCACTACAGAGGGTAGTGCGTACGGCCCAGTACATCACTGGGGCCAAGCTTCCTGCAATCCAGGACCTCTATACCAGGCGGTGTCAGAGGAAGGCCCTCAAAATTGTCAAAGACTCCAGCCACCCTAGTCATAGACTGTTCTCTCTGCTACTGCATGGCAAGCGGTACCGGAGCGCCAAGTCTAGGTCCAAAAGGCTTCTCAACAGCTTCAACCCCCAAGCCATAAGACTCCTGAACAGCTAATCATTGCTACTTGGACTATTTGCACTGCCCCCCACCCCCACTCCCCTCTTTTACGCTGCTGCTACTCTGTCTATTATTTATGCATAGTCACTTTATGCATAGCCACTTTAACTTACCTCAATTACCTCGACTAGCCGGTGCCCCCGCACATTGACTCTGCACCGGTACCACCCTGTATATAGCCTCCCTACTGTTATTTTATTTTACTGCTGCTCTTTAGTTATTTAATTTTTAATTTTTTTACTTAACACTTAAAAAAAAAAAAACTTTAAAAAATGCATTGTTGGTTAAGGGCTTGTAAGTAAGCATTTCACTGTAATGTCTACACCTGTTGTATTCGGCGCATGTGGCAAATACAATTTGATTTGTCAGTGACTGATGTAAATTGCATCGTAGGCAGTTATTGTTTTGCAGCCCAATGGCAAAACGAGGAAGTCGTAGTAGATTCCTTGAAATGCCAGAAGCTGCATATCTAAAATGTTCCATTCAGAGCTGAACTAGTGTCTCCCTTTCCTGCTGTGGAGTAGACCTGGTGGGCTGCCAATACATTCCGCGAGTCAGTTTCTGTAGCCTACCCACATTTTACTTATTCTGTAATTTCCTTTGAATAGGAGTAAGAGAAGGAAGTGTCTCTTTTTCCTCCTCCTGCTTTGCTCATTTCTTTAAACGGAATCTACGGAGGAGGTTTAGACTACTGGTCTCACTCTAACTTTTCAGAATTGCTTGTCTACTTTGAGACATTTTATCTTATTTTATTTGGGAATTTGACTATTATAGCTGATTAATAATGCTGGAAGCTGGAGAGTACACTATGAAAAGTAAGTGTCAGCATTTGTTTTAGTAGGCTAAGCAATAGGACCTAATGTGATTTACTGAAGACAAGCTTTGTCGTTTTAAATTTTACTGTCAGACAAGATTTAAATCCCCTCTCCTCTCTCATGCTTTGACTCCAGTGCATCCGATGTGGCAGGGACCACTCGTTGCTCCTGGGGGCAACAGACAATCTCCTATCGATATTCGGGTGCGAAAGAGCGTCTTTGATCCGCATCTCAAGCCGCTGACCCCGGATTACGACCCCAGGACTTGTTCACAGATATGGAACAACGGGTACTCATTCCTGGTTGAGTACGATGACACCACCGACAAATCGAGTAAGCACTTTCAGTTCTGCCACGTGACCTCCTGATTGAAACCCGCAATGCCTGCCACGTGGAATGTGACTTTGATTTAAATTTTTAAGTATTCCTGCCCTAGGATTATTTCTCAACATCATGGTCTTGAAACTTGTTTAAACATAGTCTAATTACTCTAAATTTCAAACAATTATTATTTCAGAAATGAATATTTTGTTAACCGCTAAACTTTACATAAATATTTTAATGCCAAGAATACAGTAGGCTAGTTATTCTGTAATTTAATTCTTAGTTCTGCTTTTTAATGTGTGTTTGTGTGAGAAGAGGATACTTGTTATGTTTTAACAACTATGTTTATAACTCCCCACTCAGCTGTTGTGTGTATTAGTTACTGTTTCTTCTCATTATTGCATGTGTCGCAATCACAACATTGATGAGTGGTCGATTTCTTCTCGTCTATCCCCCTCTCAGCACTTAAAGGGGGTCCTCTGGAGGATAACTTTCGGCTGTGTCAGTTCCACTTCCATTGGGGGGAGAGCAACGCATGGGGCTCTGAGCACACAGTGGACCGCCGCCTCTTCCCTGCTGAGGTAGCTACCGCACATCCTCTTCCTTAACAGAGTGTCTGTATTTAAATGTTACGTTTGTTGAATGCCTCTAGCTATGATACAGTAAGAACTTCCTGACATGTCAAGTCTAATAGAGCCATAGTCCTCAGGAGACTGTGGCATGGAACGGTAGGTAGTAGGTTAGTCATCAAGTCAATGCTGATGTCCTAGCCAATCCATAATGACATTGGCATGCAATTTCCGTGACAGAGGGGGATTGTGCTGTTGGATAGCTCTACATATAGAAGCAGAATGCTCTGTGTGAAATGCATTCTGTTCTATCCTTAAGGCCCACCTTTGATGTGTGATCTATTTTCATATTGTTCCACTCACCTAAAGCATACTTATGCAATAGAGGGAGTACTACTGTATGTCTGGGGGAGGGTGCCATGCCAAGCTGGCATTAGTGGCTGTGAGAATCTGACCATGTCAGGGTTCTCAACACTCCCCAGGTGCAGTGTGTGTAGAGCGGCTCAAGTTACGATTACAACACACAACTCACTCTGTGTGCCTAATAGGAGCACACCACAGTCTGGGTAACAGAGGTAATGGATCCTCCTCAGTTTACTTATTGGGTTGTACTGCGCTTTGGGTAGGGTTGGGCCATCGTGTGAATATGGGTAGGGTTGGTCCATCGTGTGAATATGGGTAGTGTTGGCCATTGTTGGAACCTCAAATGGAGTAAAACAGAGAGCAGCTGCATGTGACCTCAGGGTCAGACAATGCTCAGTTTGGTTTAATAGATAAACCGTCTGTTCAGGATGGAGAATCTGGGGATTTTGGGGTGGATTTTCACATTCAGAATCAGATTTTTTTAGAGTTTTGATTATTGATTGTTCTACCACAGAGTTTTGACCGTTGTTTATCTTGAGAATGATATTAAAGATGATTGATATTAATAATTATCCAGCAGCAAATATAATCTGTGACACATTGCAATTGAATTCTCTGGGTGTCTGGATAAATACGTTCTAATTAACGTATTTGTCGCCTTTTCTGTTAATAGCTCCACATGGTGCACTGGAACTCTGATAAGTATAGCCGGTTTGAGGAGGCGGTGATGGAGGAGAATGGACTGGCTGTTATTGGGGTCTTCCTCAAGGTAACTTATTGCTCCTTGTTAACATAGCGATGCATCCCTACCACATGCAACCCACCACCATCAAATTGTATTTGTCACATGCACCGAATACAACAGGTGTAGACCTTAGCGTGAAATGCTTACTTACAAGCCCTAAACCAACAATGCAGTTCAAGAAATAGAGTTAAGAAAATATTTACTAAATAAAGGTTAAAAAAATAAAAATCTAAAGTAACACAAGAAAATTACATAACAATAATGAGGCTATATACAGGGGGTACCAGTACCGAGTCAATGTACAGGTTAGTTGAGGTAATTTGTTAAGTGACTATGCATAGATAATAAACAGCGAGTAGCTAAATGGCATATTATATTATATTATTATTATTATTATTATTATTATTATATTATATAGCAGCAGTGTAAAAACAACGGGGTGGGGGGTGTCAATGTAAATAGTCTGGGTGGCCATTTGATTAATTGTTCAGCAGTCTTATGGCTTGGGGGTAGAAGCTGTTAAGGTGCCTTTTGGTCCTAGACTTGGCGCTCCGGTACCGCTTGCCGTGAAGTAGCAGAGAGAACAGTCTATGACTTGGGTGATTGGAGTCTTTGACCATTTTTTGGGCCTTCCTCTGACAACGCCAAGTATATACAGTTGAAGTCGGAAGTTTACATACACCTTAGCCAAATACATTTAAACTCAGTTTTTCACAATTCCTGACATTTAATCCTAGTAAAAATTCCCTGTCTTAGGTCAGTTAGGATCACCACTTTTATTTTAAGAATGTGAAATGTCAGAATAATAGTAGAGAGAATGATTTATTTCAGCTTGTATTTCTTTCATCACATTCCCAGAGGGTCAGACGTTTACATACACTCAATTAGTATTTGGTAGCATTGCCTTTAAATTGTTTAACTTTGGTCAAACGTTTCGGGTAGCCTTCCACAAGCTTCCCACAATAAGTTGGGTGAACTTTGGCCATTCCTCCTGACAGAGCTGGTGTAACTGAGTCAGGTTTATAGGCCTCCTTGCTCGCACACGCTTTTTCAATTCTGCCCACACATTTTCTATAGGATTGAGGTCAGGGCTTTGTGATGGCCACTCCAATACCTTGACTTTGTTGTCTTTAAGCCACAACTTTGGAAGTAGGCTTGGGGTCATTGTCCATTTGGAAGACCCATTTGCGACAAAGCTTTAACTTCCTGACTGATGTCTTGAGATGTTGCTTCAATATATCCACATAATTTTCCTTCCTCATGATGCCATCTATTTTGTGAAGTGCACCAGTCCCTCCTGCAGCAAAGCACCCCCACAGCATGATGCTGCCACCCTAGTGCTTAACGGTTGGGATGGTGTTCTTTGGCTTGCAAGCTACCCCTTTTTCTTCCAAACATAACAATGGTCATTATGGGCAAACAGTTCTATTTTTGTTTCATCAGACCAGAGGACATTTCTTTGTCCCCATGTGCAGTTCCAAACCATAGTCTGGCTTTTTTATGGCGGTTTTGGAGCAGTGGATTCTTCCTTGCTGAGCGGCCTTTCAGGTTATATCAATATAGGACTCGTTTTACTGTGGATATAAATACTTTTGTACCTGTTTCTCCAGCATCTTCACAAGGTCCTTTGCTGTTGTTCTGGGTTTGATTTGCACTTTTCGCACCAAAGTACGTTAATCTCTAGGAGACAGAACGGGTCTACTTCCTGAGCGGTATGATGGCTGCGTGGTCCCATGGTGTTTATACTTGCGTACTATTGTTTGTACAGATGAACGTGGTACCTTCAGGCGTTTGGAAATTGATCCCAAGGATAAAACAGACTTGTGGAGGTCTACAATTCTTTTTCTGAGGTCTTGGCTGATTTCTTTTGATTTTCCCATGATGTCAAGCAAAGAGGCACTGAGTTTGAAGGTAGGCCTTGAAATACATCCACAGGTACACTTCCAATTGACTCAAATAATGTCAATTAGCCTATTTTTTCTGGAATTTTCCAAAGCTGTTTAAAGGCACAGTCAACTTAGTGTATGTAAACTTCTGACCCACTGGAATTGTGATACAGTGAAATAATCTGTCTGTAAACAATTGTTGGAAAAATTACTTGTGTCATGCACGAAGTAGATGTCCTAACCGACTTGCCAAAACTATAGTTTGTTAACAAGAAATTTGTGGAGTGGTTGAAAAACAAGTTTTAATGACTCCAACCTAAGTGTATGTAAACTTTCGACTTCAACTGTAGGTCCTGGATGTCAGGAAGCTTGGCCGCAGTGATGTACTGAGTCGTACGCACTACCCTCTGTAGCGCCTTACGGTCAGATACCGAGCAGTTGCCATACCAGGCGGTGATGCAACCGGTCAGGATGCTCTCGATGGTGCAGCTGTATAACCTTTTGAGGATCTGGGGACCCATGCCAAATCTTTTCAGTCTGCTGAGGGGGAAAAGGTGTTGTCGTGCCCTCTTCACAACTGTCTTGGTGTGTTTGGACCATGATAGTTCGTTGATGATGTGGACCCCAAGGAACTTGAAACTCTCGACCCGCTCCACTTCAGCCCTGTCAATGTTAATGGGGGCCTGTTCGGCCCTCCTTTTCCTATAGTCTACGATCAGCTCCTTTGTCTTGCTCACATTGAGGGAGAGGTTGTTGTCTTGGCACCACACTGCCAGGTCTTTGACCTCCTCCCTATAGGCTGTCTCATCGTTGTCGGTGATCAGGCCTATCACTGTTGTGTTGTCAGCAAACTTAATGATGGTGTTGGAGTCGTGCTTGGCCACACATTTGTGGGTGAACGGGGAATACAGGAGGGGACTAAGCACGCACCCCCGAGGGGCCCCAGTGTTGAGGATCAGCGTAGCAGATGTGTTGTTGCCTACCCTTACCACCTCGGGGCGGCCTGTCAGGAAGTCCAGGATCCAGTTGCAGAGGCAGGTGTTTAGTCCCAGGGTCCTTAGCTTAGTGATGAGCTTTGTGGGCACTATGGTGTTGACTGCTGAGCTGTAGTCAATTAACAGTATTCTCACATAGGTGTTCCTTTTGTCCAGGTGGGAAAGGTCAGTGTGGAGTGCGATTGAGATTGCATCATCTGTGGATCTGTTGGGGCAGTATGTGATTTGAAGTGGGTCAAGGGTTTATGGCATGATGGTGTTGATGTGAGCCATGACCAGCCTTTCAAAGCACTTCATGGCTATTGACGTGAGTGCTACGGGGCGGTAATCATTTAGGCAGGTTACCTTCGCTTTCTTGGGCACAGGGACTATGGTGGTCTGTTTGAAACATGTAGGTATTACAGACTCGGTCAGGGAGAGGTTGAACATTTCAGAGAAGACACTTGCCAGTTGGTCTGCGCATGCTTTGAGTACATGTCCTGGTAATCCGGCTGGCCCCGCGGCTTTGCGTAGCATCCGTGTCATCTGACCACTTCCGTATTGAGCGAGTAACTGGTACTTCCTGCTTTAGTTTTTGATTGTAAGCAGGAATCAGGAGGATAGAATGATGGTCAGATTTGCCAAATGGAGGACGAGGGAGAGCTTTGTAAGCGTCTCTGTGTGTGGAGTAAAGGTGGTCTAGAGTTTATTTCCCCTCTGGTTGCACATGTAACATGCTGGTAGAAATGAGGTAAAACTGATTTAAATTTGCCTGCATTAAAGTCCCCGGCCACTAGGAGCGCCGCTTCTGGATGAGCATTTTCTTGTTTCCTTCTTGGCCTTAGACAGCTCGTTGAGTGCAGTTTTAGTGCCAGCATCGGTTTGTGGCGGTAAATAGACGGCTACGAATAATATAGATGAGAACTCTCTTGGTAGATAGTGTGGTCTACAGCTTATCATGAGGTATTCTACCTCAGGCGAGCAATACCTTGAGACTTCTTTAATATTAGACATTGCACCAGCAGTTACTGACAAATAGACCCCCCCCCCCCTCGTCTTACCAGACGTAGCTGCTCTGTCCTGCCGATGCATGGAGAAGCCAGCCAGTTCTATATTATCCGTGTCGTCATTCAGCCACATCTCGGTGAAACAGAAGATATTACAGTTTTTAATGTCCCGTTGGTAGGATAGTCTTAATCGTAGATCGTCCAGTTTGTTTTCCAATGATTGCACGTTGGCCAATAATACGGAGGGTAGTTGTGGTTTACCTACTCGTCGACTAATTCTTACAAGGCACCCCGCCCTCCTCCCCCTTTTCCTCCGTCTTTTCTTCACGCGGATGACTGGGATTTGGGCCTTGTCTCAACAAAGTAGTATATCCTTTGCGTCGGACTCATATACACACTTGACCATATACACACCATTTCAAGATTTACTGACATTGAAATGTAAACACCACATGCAGTGAATGTAAACACACGGCACATGCCTGACAGAAGGACTCAGTGCTCAGACAGATTATTTTCCTCCTCAGATAGGGAAGAGACACGAGGGACTGCAGAAACTAGTGGATGTCCTACCTGCTGTCAGACACAAGGTGAGTTCAATGATTTACCACTTAAACCATGCAGGTGAGCTTGTTACCAAAGTTTCAGAGAGAACATTTCAACCAGGTGTTATATGTCGCTGAGTTTCTGAGAAGGCCGCCCAAAGCTTAAGAACATATGGTCAATGTGCTGTACGACTCAGTTAGGTGTTCTAGACAAGCCTCTCTCCGGTGGAGCCCACATGACATTTATATGTCAATTGGAGTGCGAATTACACCATGACATTCGGGAGTGTCTATCAAATTTATCGGCCTAATAATAAAGACGTAATTTAAACGGTAAAAAATTATTACCTTTAATGTGGCATGAACACAACCAGTCATATTTTCATCTGATTGCTAAACAAATCACCTCAAAAAGTAGGCATGTTCGTCCACTCCATTTGATGACTGTAAATAGATCTGTTACAAAACACCAAGAAGTGTGTCTAATGACATTCAGGGATTTGCCATTGATTAGGCTTACATTAATTGATGCGTCTTGCTGACAAATTGACCTTTTTTGTAGCCTGAAAAGTCGGGACACCTGAAATGGGGCTGAAACTGTCCCGGGAAAAAGGGGATGGTCACCCTAACACACATGGTCAATTTACTAGACTAGGCTACAATGTGTATTAGCATGAATTTCAAATAGGCCAGTGATGTAGTGTTTTAAAAAAAATGTTGGGTAAACTCTGATTGCCGGTCGTGATGAAAAAGTAACGCTCCCTATGCTTTGAGTGCATAAAAAAAAAAGTGGGTAAACAACAACGTTTACCCTCCACTAGGCCTACACACTGCCGGTAGCCTACCTTCTCAGCTGAGGCAATTTTAAACACATGAACACACGCAGAATAGGTAGCCTACATTCAATATAATAAATGAGTTGAATCAAAACATGTTTTGCATGCTAGTTCATGAATTGTCCTTAATGCTTGAAGTCTTCACAGATCATGTGACATAAAACACTACATTTCTTTCCTTATGTTAATTACATTTATGACAGTGTTATTTGTCATTTATGAAGTATTTAACAATTGAATTAGAATATTGAACTTAAACTCTGTACAAATCATGGATCTTGGGGATCTCGGAAAATCCACTGCAAGTGTAACTATGCCTACGTAACATTTCATTATGTTTCGCCGTGAAAACAGTTCTCATGGGCACACAAATCCAAAATTATATAGGTCTATGCCATTGCAAAATCTAATGCTTCTAACCGAAATGGTCAACTACTGTCATTAAGCTATACTTGTTGGATGCACATTGGTGTCTAGCTGTAGGCTAGTTGTCTAGTGATATTGTTGACCATCAGGTTATCCAGTAAAGAAAACGAATATTGATAGAAAATAATTAAGCTAAATAAATGGTCTACTACTTCTGGCCACGGATGGCACATAGAACACCAGTACCGCGCACACCTAAGAGCAATGAGCGCTTTAAACAGCTGACTGACAAAAGCAAACAATGATAAATCAACAGATAAATCTAATGCATTGGATAAAGGCTATTTTTATCAAGGACTCATGGTGAAAATGCTTAAAGGAGCTCGGCTGAAGCCGAAATTCAGCACTAGCCCCCACCCCCCGAAGTTTGACTGAGTGTTGTAGGCTGGAACACCCTTTGTTACATCGCACAGAATTATTACTGCAAAGGAACTTTCCTGAAATACTGTATGATCAGAGATGGGGAGACTGTCAACTTTAACTGCCCTCTAGTGGCCATGAGTCAAATTACATGCCACTACTATCAGGAAGGTTGTGGATGGGAAATGCCAATAATAATAATAATAAATAACTTGTGACATGGTTGGTAGCACCATGTAACCCTTTCCTCTTCCCCTTCTTGCTCCTTAGGACAGTGTTGTTGAGTTCACTAGGTTTGACCCAGCCTGCCTACTGCCCAGTAACATTGATGATTACTGGACGTATGCAGGGTCACTGACCACGCCTCCTCTGACCGAAGCAGTGACCTGGATTATCATGAAGCAGCACATCGAAGTCAGCCATGACCAGGTTAGTGTGTGTGTGAAAGCATGTGCGTGGTGAAAAGGGAAGGAATGTTAGAACTACTCGTGGACTAAACCTTAGTGTTTTCACTTGGTAGTTCCATGTCTGCATAACATTCTCTCCCTGTCCTGTCCCTTCCTCAGCTGGCTGTGTTTCGGAGTCTTCTCTTCACCTCAGCAGAGGAGGAGGTGCAGAAGAGCATGGTCAACAACTTCCGTGTGCAGCAGTCGCTGCAGGGCCGCACTGTGCGTTCCTCGTTTACTCCCTTCCTGAAGGAGGAGCAACATGCAAAGGGTCCACACACAGGCCACTGACCTTTACACACAGACTCACTCGGACCCTTCAAACCAAAATAATGCAATACCCTGGGAAGCACATTTTGGGGCTAACAAAGTCTTACGTTTGACTCTACAGAAGTCATACTGCTGGCATCTTCTTTCGAAACGCTTATGCATTCAGAAAGCACTCTGATTTCACTTAGGTGCCAGGGATTTTATAATTCCAATGTCACCATCTAAAAGCTTTTTTGTTGACCATCCTTGGTACTAGACATCGGTCTCACTGCCTGCTGTCCTGTCAATAAGTGAAAGGCATCATCAACACATGGCAGGTATATTGGTATAGTCTATGCTAACAGATTTTTGAATCCCCGGGTCTCTTAGGTGAATCAGTAATTCTTTTTAAGTTAATGCTCTGAATGTTTTTAAGTTGTAAACCTTTTTTATTCAGTCCTTATTAACAGTCACACTTGAAATGCTTCCAGAAATCAATGAGGGATGCTGCTGAAATACAGGTAACTGTCAAAATAATGGAAACATCAATTGTCTCAATAGGGCGTTGGGCCACCACGAGCCAGAACAGCTTCAATGCACATGTGTCTGAAAGTCTTGGAGGGATGCGACACCATTCTTCTATGAGAAATTCCATCATTTTCCAACACTTTCGGGCTCCACTCCAGGATCTCCCATAAGTGTTTAATTTGGTTGAGATCTGGATACTGAGATGGCCATGGCGTATGGCTTACATAGTTTTCATGCTCATCAAACCATTCAGTGACCACTCGTGCCCTGTGGATGGGAGCATTGTCATCCTATGGGGGTGTAGCCAAAATAATGATCTGCCCAGCATTTTTATACATGACCCTAAGCATGATGGGATGTTAACTACTTAATTAACTCAGGAAGTGCACCTGTGTGGAAGCATCTGCTTTCAATATACTTTGTATCCCTCATTTACTCAGTGTTTCCATTATTTTGGCAGTTACCTGTACTTTTATACTATCACCGCTTTTATACTATCACCGCTGATAATCACCCTCTTGTGGATGAGCAGTATTCTTGCAGTAATTGTTCTCCTTCCTTGACAAAGTATTTGAGGTGAAGGGGCACCATATATGAATGTGGGATTTAGTTTGAAGGTTTAAGCTCTGAACTTGTTTACTGCACACAGCCAAAGAGATTTTGTTCATTGTATTTGGGCCTAGCTAAGGCTCCAAACTGCACAAATGAGTGTTGCTCATTGCTTTGAAAGATGTTTTTAGATGATGGGCATTTGTGATGGATTTTATTACATAGTCTATTGAGTGGACTAGAATGTACATCTCACTATCTGTAACTTAGAGGTAAAATTCATAAGGCCTTATAAGCACAGGGAAACCAAGGCATTTGTTACAACTAATATCGATAACTATTCTGTTGATTTCTATAGCGAACTTCATGTATTTTAGCATGGGTGTCTAAATTTATTTGCTCTTGTGATCAAATGTTTCTGTTCTACTAAACAGGAATCTACCATAGTGCCTTCTAGGTTATGCATCATACTGACACATGGCGGTCACCTCTGTTTTCATAGATCAATAGCTCACTGCAGTGTGTCTGTTCTGTTTGGGCCTGCTGGTCTAACGCATATTGTTAATATTCTGCTCCTACCAGGCTTTTAACAGGCAGTCGGTCGATTGTGAGTTTGCCAGATTCTGGTTCAGGCGCTGGGAGAGTTAAGAGAGGGTATCACATCATACATCATTAACCTGTTATTCATCATGTTGGTTCTGTATTTATTTATTAGTGGAGGTTGGTGGGTTTTTACTTGCCTTTTTAGAAGCACTAGCAGCACACCAACAGGAATAATTCTCCTTCTGATATTTGTATGTCATTTCTTGAGACTGTGAAGCTTTTTCAGTACTCTGCAAACTAATTTTTGTATATATATAATTTGAAATTTCAAAGTTCCCTGCGGAACTGGACAGGGATTACAGTGGGACCAACTATCTTTAAAACATACCTACATTTTAATGTTATGCTTTAATAGCATTCAAAAAGGTTAACTGTAATATAAGCACTGCTATTCCCTATGTTGACACGAAACCATGATACGTGATATAGCAATTTCTATAGCAATTGTAATACCTTGCTGCCTATTTTCCATTAGCCTACTTCTAGTTGCAGTTTTCTGGGTGTGCCTTGCAGTGCTTCACTATTTTCATCAAAGGAAGGGAGGGATTGGAAAAAGAGGGGGGGTCTTATGTCTGTGCAGTGTTCAGAGAAAGTGAAGGAAGCGCTTATTTGAAGTAGGTGCTAAAAGGATTGGAGGCAAAAGGGATTGATTGGTTTGTTCTATAAACAGGAAATGAAAAGGGAGAGCAGACATCGAGGGAACATTGGTATTGTTTGTTCTATAAAGCATTAAGTGAGTGGACGGTTGTCTTTGTGATCATTCAATAACAATGTTCCTATATAAACTGTCTCTTATGAGGCCTCTCCCTTGAAAGAGCCACCTGGCCCTATCCCCACTAGGTCAATTGCAGAGAAGTAGCTTGACACTAACCTGTTTTGAAAACTGTAAAGCACTGTCCAAACACTGAGGAACCGTAAGACTCTAGCCCGCTATACCCAACTGACACTTTTGCCTGTTTCACTGTGTTCCCTATTAAATTAAAGGTGACACTTTGTTACACCAGGGGTTAGGGGAACAATGTTGGGGCACAGGGAGGATTTGAACACAGTTATGAAATGGTTACACATTTCATGTGGGCATTTGTATGGGTGCTGTTATGTTTGTGGGTAGGATAGAGATGATATTTTCTGTAACTGGTACGGGACTTATTTTCAGCTTCCATTTGTTTTGTTATGTTCTGCCTTTTTTAATCTTTGAAATGGTACTCTCCAGTGGGAGGTTTCCATTCATTTAACCGTATACAGTTGTCAAGTTGGCTGGATGTCCTTTGGGTGGAGGACCATTCTTGATACACAAGGGAAACTGTTGAGTGTGAAAAACCCAGCAGCATTGCAGTTCTTGACGTAAACCAGTGCGCCTTGCAGCTACTACCATACCCTGTTCAAAGATACTTCAATATTTTGTCTTGCCCATTCACCCTCTGAATGGCACACACACAATCCATGTCTCAATTATCTCAAGCATTAAAAATCCTTCTTTAACTTGTCTCCTCCCTTTCATCTACACTGATTTGAAGTGGATTTAACAGGTGACATCAATAAGGGATCCTAGCATTCAACTGGTCAGCCTGTCATGGAAAGAGCATGTGTTAATGTTTTGTACACTCAGTGTACATGTTTTACATAAATACGACTTGCAGTACTTCCCCTTTCTTAGTTTGTTACTTAGGAGGTGTTTTCCTGAGGCTAGAAGAGTGTTACGTGTGTTGTGCTGTAGTACATATTGTATTTGTTTTATCATTGAGCGTCCACATTCCTGCCCCATGGGCCTTGAGGAGCTGCGGTTCAAGGGATAAGTTGGGGCCCCTCTTCCAACAGGCCTGTTGTTGTACCAGGTGCCTGATTGGCCCAGTCCAGCTGTGCAACCAGGAAGAGGTGCTACTATCATGACCCACTGGCCTAAAACACCACAGGGATAGACCTTACATCCACTGCTGACAGGAAATGTTCATATAGAAGATTTTAAAGCCTATATTAAAGAAGAATATAATAAAGAAATGCCTGTTTTAATTATTTGTGCAGGTGGTATTAAAAAAATGGAATGGGGTGCTCATCTGGGCAAAGTCTTGTAGTTAAAAAAGTAAGGGTGATGGCATCGCCCATATAGTCTTTTATGGGACAAGCCATCACCTTTTACTTTTTGGGACGATGCCTTTGATTTGATTTTGTGAGCCCATGTGGTTATGTTATAGGATAGTCATATTGGGGCGTGTTGAAAATGTGGCTCTCTAATGATAACAGCCTCCAATAGGGTGGGAAAAGGAGGGAGGGTACAATAGTCAATATTGTGGAAAGATGGTTTGCCTGTGGAACAAGATGCTTGTCTTTAGTTGTTATTCAGCATTGGGATTGGCATCCAGGGCAGTAGTAGGCACTTAAGTAGTAGAATATGCAGAAGTTACAGGACTTGTACCTATGAAGCACTTCCGTACACTTTTTAAATAATCCAAACACTCTGAATTACATTAAGGTCCCTCTTCACCGTCATGCACCTATTTTAATGCTCCGCTGCAATTTCAAGCCAGAACGCACTACACATGAACTAAGATGAGGGTCTGCAACAGAAACAAGGTCACAAAGCTCTGGGTTCTTAGAAAGGTTTGTCCCCAATAATTGTGCTGCGCTCCATTGTTCCCTATCAGACAGGAGCCTAGGCCCAGACATGCAATAAGGACCTGGACCAGGGCTGATAACGCCACAGAAGGGCTAGACGGCACCTTTGAAGTCACAACAGAGAATGGGGTCAGGGTGTGGATGTTTATAAATGTTAGGAAACCTGGTTTGAGTTTTGTCTCCACTTGATTCAAACAGACCCCTATTCGTGTTTATTATGGTTGGCCACGGGGGATATAAAAGTGGGATGAGATGTCTCCCAAAAGGCTGCATGGGTTCCCATTATTGTGTGGGAGAGTTTGAGAAGCTGCTCTTTGAACTGTGTAAAAACAAATGGCGAAGTTAAACGAACAGTGAATATTTCTGTGACCACATGGCTATCATTCAGAGTATGGGAATAAACGTAATGTCCGTCTGGGGTGAAGAGTGTGGTCCTCAAGCTTGTGCTGACCTCTTTCCACTGACCTTAAGTTACGAGATGAATGGCAGTTAGAAGATGAAAGAAAAGGTCTAATTAAAGATCATTTCTTCTTCTCTTGGTTTTGTTCTTTGTTTTAAGAGGATATTTTTAGAACAAAAGATGAGCCACCAGTCTCCCAACGCCCACAAACTAGGACTGTAAACAGGAACTTGCAGCTTCAGGACATTCTCAGAACTCCCATCCAGCTGCTCTTTCTCCCCCTCAACTCAAAAGTTTTTTGTTTGGTTTATCAGATATTTCAATCTGTTTCTCATAAATAGGGTTTGAGAACTAGAAGTCCACTACAGCTTTAACTGTAATTGGCTCCTTGAAACATGAAAGGAGGATAGTCCAGGCTCTTTGTTATGCGAATGGTTGGCAGTAGATTGGGCACTCCTTATGCCAGTATGTTTTGTTCACAGGATCTTCAGATATTGTTTTGAACTGAAGAAAATAACTTGTGTTCATTGTTTTCAGTCAATCAGAAAATGCAATGTCATAAATGTCTTTATTGATCTCAGTCCAAATCACATCACACAGAGACCATGGGAATTGGGACTTCCATTCTCTTGAATTTTCAACAGACTTTTTTAAGATGCAGTGAATGTTAGGCTACTTCTAAGTAACTTTCTCATCTCGGACAATGTGAGCCTACATCACAGAGCTTGTATAACATTAATTTAGTTGTGTCACTCTATTCACTTATATCCTCATTGTTTTAAGGATTGCTGTTCATGGGACTCCTTATCCTAATAGCCACACTATGTACAAACATATGTTCCATGCAATCTCTGCAACAGCCTCAGATCCTCCCTGTGCCCCCGCT